GAAACATTCGAATCAAAATTGAATTCGAATTCTTTTTTTTTTTGTCCAAAGCAGCCCCCCCCCAGAAATCAACCACCAAAAAAAAAAAACATACAGACAGAGAAAAATTTTCATCACAATCGAACGGCACAACAACGTAACAACAAGTATCCTATCCTCCCTCCATCATCTTTTTTTTTTTGGTGAAAATACGTAACAGCATTTTTACATATCACAAACACTCGCGCTAAAATGACAAACACCATCACCATCAACCATTACCACATATACCCGATTTTCGTTTTTTTTTTGCTTATCATAATTTCATCAAAAAAAAAATCAATGGTGAAATTAATACAAACAAAGTTAGAATTTTTTTTTCTCTTGATTGAAATATTTTCAAAATCATTTTGTTGCTGTTGTTGTTAGAATTGGTTTTATTAATTTAGCAAAAAAAAATTTGGTTTTTTTTATCATTATTTCATCATTTCATATATGAATGATGCCGATGTCGAATTCACTTTTTTTCCCTCCCTCCCTCATTCCTTGTTTTAAAATAAAAAAAAATGGCTACCCCAATTGGCTTATCTTTGGTTTTTTTATATTTCATTTCATTTTTTTTTGTTATGATTGACGAATGCGCAAATCATTTCATTTTGTTTTATCATGATAATTGAAAACACAAGTTAAAAAAAACCTAATAAAAAAAAGATGAATGTTTATAGGTGATTCTTATTGGTACAATTGTGAACGATATCCGAAGAAATGTCATCAAAAAAATCTTGTGATAAACAAATTGATATGAATCATAACACAGTTGTTGATTGGAATAATAACTTGAGAGAAGTTTGTGTTGGCTAAATTCTTCCTCATCACAGTTAAGTAAAGAATCACAAAAAAAAACTTTTGTATTGATTCAAAATTGATTGCAATTAATTTTGATTCTGATTAAATTTTTTTAAAATCTATTTTTTCATAGAACGATTTGAAATTCTGATATCTAAATGGATTCGAAATTATTACGTCAATCGATGCTGATGGACTTTTTTTTTGGTTTAATTTGGGATTTCGAAAAAATTATTCCGTCAAAATTTTATTTAAGGAGCTAAAAAGTAATGGATCTTGAAAAAACACGATAAATCAATATTTTATTTCATTTCTTTTTCTACGATAAATTTTTTCATTTTTTATCATCTTTTAAGGTTTTCANGAAATTAATACAAACAAAGTTAGAATTTTTTTTTCTCTTGATTGAAATATTTTCAAAATCATTTTGTTGTTTTTGTTAGAATTGGTTTTATTAATTTAGCAAAAAAAAATTTGATTTTTTTTATCATTATCTCATCATTTCATATATGAATGATGCCTAAATTATCGAATTCACTTTTCTTCCCTCCCTCCCTCATTCCTTGTCTGAAATTTAAAAAAAATGGCTACCCTTATTGGCTTATCTTTGGTTTTTTTATTTCATTTCATTTTTTTTTTTTGTTATGATTGACGATTGCGCGAATCATTTCATTTTGTTTTATCATGATAATTGAAGACACAAGTTAAAAAAAAACCTAATAAAAAAAGATGAATGTTTATAGGTGATTCTTATCGGTATAATTGTGAACCATATCCGAAGAAATGACATCAAAAAAATCTTGTGATAAACAAATTGATATGAATCATAACACAGTGATGATTGTTGATTGGAATAATAACTTGAGAGAAGTTTGTGTGGGAGTATTGGCTAAATTCTTCCTCATCACGGTTAAGTAAAGAATCACAAAAAAAAACTTTTGTATTGATTCAAAATTGACTGAAATCAATTTTGATTAATAAAATTAATTTTTAATTTTTTTTTTTAAATCTATTTTTCCATAGAATGATTTGAAATTCTGATATCTAAATGGATTCGAAATTATTACGTCAATCGATGCTGATGGACTTTTTTTTTGGTTTAATTTGGGATTTCGAAAAAATTATTCCGTCAAAATTTTATTTAAGGAGCTAAAAAGTAATGGATCTTGAAAAAACACGATAAATCAATATTTTATTTCATTTCTTTTTCTACGATAAATTTTTTCATTTTTTATCATCTTTCAAGGTTTTCAGTAAATGAAAAAATTATTATTATTATGGCAACAGAGCTAAACCAACCAGTGAGATTATATCAACAATTTAGTTCAGATATGAAATGTATGTGATTTTTTTGCCTTTTTTCTGTCCGCTTTATAAATAAAATTAACATTATTATTATTTTCTTTTTTTTTGAAAATAGTATTGGTTCCAGATAGTTTTTTTCAAATGATTTCAAGTATAAAATGTCAATACCTTCAATCGGAAACAAATGTTATTTTGGCAGAAATTTTTGTTTCCTTCCATTATCCATATTTATTCAACAAAAAATCAAAAAACAAACTCCATCATCATTATTATCACCATAATTGAATAATCGTAAATAATAAAGTCGATAGAAAAATATGACGAAGAAACTAAATGAAATTATCTTCATTGATTCATAATAAACAAATAGAAACGAGGAATGATAATAATAAAATAGTATTTCCAATGAATTACGAACTTTTATTTTTTTATCTATATATCATTTGTAAAAAGTCGTTCCATTTGACACATTTTCATCATCATCATTTGTTTACACAATCATAAATGAATATGCTGAAAAGTCGTACGAGATACTTTTAAGAATTTTAACAAATCAAGCACCTTAATTTCATTACACATCATTTATGGCATCACTTGACTTTAATTCATTTTTTTTCTTTCGTTTAACCATAACAACGACAACTATTATGATACGACAATATCATTAATAACACTTGATTCTTTGTCATTTTTGAAAATTTTTTCAATGTTTTCATATTCGAATTAGAATGATATGATTTATTCAATGGTGGAACCAGAATAAGAACAAAAACAATGTTTGCTGTTTTCAATTGAATAGAAAAAATGATAACAGACAAGATCATATTCTCGAAAAAATAAACATTATTTCCAAAACATCAAATTATTGACAGTGACAAACAAAATAACGTCAACAAATTGAAACATTATCCACTTGCAAACAAACCAAAAAAAACTTGAATAATAGGTTTGTTCCAATCATCAAAAATCAACATCAAATATATTTTTGAAACAAAGTAAAAAATAAGAAATGAAATGTTTGTTTGTTTCAATAGGAAATTTCAACACTTTTAGCAAAATCATTTTTTTCCATCATCATCATAACACATGTATCATTATCAAATTCCAACAATTTAGTATTTTTCATTTGATTGATTGACTGATTGATTTATTTACTTTTATTCTTTTTTCATTTCTTTATTAATGTGTCCACCTGTCATATTCTGTAAAATTCAACCTGTCACAGGAATTCACATTATTTTTTTTTGTCCCATATAATCGAATACTTTCATCTTCTTTTTTTTCTCTTTCTCTCTTTAATATCGATATATATAGAATATGTCATCCTATTGTCAAGTTGAAAAATTCGAGAAACAAAAAATACTTGAAAGGAATTCGGTTCATCCACCCACACACACACACACACACATCCAGAGAGTTAATACTGACTTAATTTGTACTTTTTTTTCAAGAAAATGAGCTTCAGAAAAAAAAACTTTATAATTATTATTTTCTTCTAATTCCACTCTCTCATTAAAAAAAATAAGTTTTTTTTTATATAAATATCATCTCAACTTTTGACAGATTCAAGCTCGAATTTCATATGTAATGCATATGAACAAATTATTCGAAAATAAGACTATTCAATTTTCAAAAAAAAACTGATTAACAGTGTATGATCTTTTCATATATTTTCTTTTTTTTTTTGTTCACATTATGATTAATCCACATCCCAATAAAAATATTAATCGAATGTTATTAATCCTTATGCAAACGCTTAGTGTGATATCATTTTGAACAATATAAATTACCCAATTATCAAATTTATGCTATGATCATAAATTTACCTATGACATTCTATTTTAAATGAATGAATTTTTATTTATATATCACCCCCAAAATATGGCAGTCTATTAATTTTTTTTCCCAATAGAATCAATGACTAATTTAAGTTCTATATCACTATATCATCATCATCATCATCATCATCATATGCTATTGTATGATACGACTAATGTCTTTTTTTTCACTATCTATTTTTTTCGGAAAATTTGTCCATTTATAATGGAAATGAATTTTGTTGTTGTTTTATCCATTTGATCCGAAGTTTGTATATCTTTTGTTTTCTTGAATTTTAGTAATATAATGTATAATTTATGATTTATTTTTCTAGTTCCAATGTTTTTTCTTTCAAAAAAAAACAAACAAACAAATACAAGATACTTTTTTCTAACATTGATAATATTGAATAATGATGATGATCATCATCATTATCATTGGTCTTCGTTATATATTACATTATGCGACAAATGATAGTTTTTTTTATCATTTGTTTGTTAAAATTACTTACCCGAGGGAAATTACTTTTTTATATACAAAATCTTAATAAGATTTTGAATTAATCAT